CAAAGTCTAAACTGGTATTGTTGTGCATTTAAGGTGTAACGTTTACCTTTGACCAAACGCCCCCAAAGGAATCCCAGCGCCCCCCTTTTGTAAAAATTTCTGTCAGCGCCCCCTGCCATCCTCTGAACGCCCCCTGGGGGGCGGTACCACCCACATCGAGAACTGCTAGGTTAGATGAATGCATCTAACCTAAGGGGATATGTTATATGCATACACTTAATGAGTTTGTGGGTACCACTTGTTGCAATAAAAATGTGGCTAATTGATGGTGTTACTTACTTTTGTTTGTAGAATTAGCCAAACTGGTATTATTTTTACAAAAGGTAGAAAAAACAGTTCTTGCAAGAAACCTCTGTCTGTGAGAGATCTTATTAGTGCAGTCATTTCAACACATCCCTGTAGTTCTTTTTTTCTAATTGCTTTTATTTGCTCAATTGTTTGTTCCAGTCTGCTTCTAGTGGCAGGTGGCACAGTGCTGAAGATCTGTGACTTTGGAACAGCCTGTGACATCCAGACCCACATGACCAACAACAAAGGAAGTGCAGCATGGATGGCCCCAGAGGTATTTGAAGGCAAGTAGAAGTGGCATTCCTGCTACCCTCCTGGTTTTATTGGAACAGAATGCGTCCTGATACGTTTCTTTTTATTTATTTCTGGACATTCTCTCTGAATTGCCACAAACCTGTTCAAGCATTTCTTTGTTTTCCTTCTTGCAGTTCACTTTGCACAGGCACTTTTCACTTAATTGCATCTTGGTGCTGCCAGCATGGATACATTAATCGTTGATTCATCCTCAGCCGTTGTACACTCTGCTTTATTGATGGTAGTCACCAGAGGAAGGCAAAAAGATGGATGGTTTGATACTTGTGCCTTTATTTCCCTGGGGACACTACAGTGTAGAATTTGTGTTCTCATTCAGCCAGCAGCCTAATGTATCACTAAATGATGAGACGTGTTCTTGGCGAGAGGGTCAGGAGAAAAGCTGAAATAACATCTAGTCATTACCTTGTTTTTGGAGGCGAGATACACGACTCAAATGCAATTAAACAACTTTCTACTGGCCTCTCCATGAACTCTTCACAACTAATTTGCATCGGTGTAAAGAGCAATCAAAACACACCAGCACAGCAAGTTTAAAATAGGTGTGTGATGTGCACATTTATTCTTCAACAGAGGCCTTGTAATTAAGCAACAGAGGAGCTGTTCATCAGTAAAAATTGCTTGCATATTTTCATCCTTCTCCCTTCTGAAAGCAACGAGGAAATAAAAACTGCTCTTCTGCTGCTCTGTTTTCTCGGGCACATCTTTCTCTCTCATCTTAAATTTGCCACAGAGAATTGATTTTATAAGTCATCAGTATGAGAGTTTGAGTTTTCTCTGTCTGAAAATGTGCTCAGTGTTTTTGTGGCTCCCTCTGTATTTGCAGGCAGCAATTATAGCGAGAAGTGTGATGTTTTCAGCTGGGGCATCATTCTCTGGGAAGTGATCACTCGCAGGAAGCCCTTTGATGAAATTGGTGGACCAGCTTTTCGCATTATGTGGGCTGTTCACAACGGTGAGTCACACTGTGTTTTTAAATGTCGTGTGTCTGTGTGTGGGATCCAGAGGCCACAGTCCAGCTGTCGGCCACTGAGAGGCCTCAGACGTGCATGTGCCTTAAGGCTCCCATCCACTGACACATGCAGCACCACCTGCAGTTTATTGTCCTGCACACAATGACTAAAGGAAACATGTATAAAAGAGTGTGCAGCGTTTGAAAGTTTGCTGTTGGGAGAAATTCTGAAACTTACAGAACAGAAAAAAATGTTGATGTATAAAATGGTGTGTAGGCATACACGTAGGCCTGTCACGATAAACAATAAATCAATTAATTGCACGATAAATAAAAATTATTGTCCTCATTTTAATTTATTGGCTTTATCGTTTCTTCCTGCGTTTTTCTCATTCTATTGATGACAGAGAATGAATGAAGCTCAACTCCAGTGCTCTCCACTGACCCCTCCCTTCCTCATTTCCTTCGTGTAATGTCAGCTCACACTACACGATTTTAGAATTGTCGGCTGATCATCTGCCCATTTTCAAAACCTGAGACACACTAGCTGACAAAAAAATCATAAGTATATGGGTTTGATCGGGTTTAATTGTTCCATGTGTGGTATCCAGCCACACAGCAAGAGCTACAGACCACACATGAACCGATTTCTCTCAGTGACATTCAGATTTCAGACAGAAAATCCCGTAAAAACCCACTATATCAGACGTGAATTTAAAGTAAACAAACGCGGCAGAATGAATAGCCTCATCATTATAACCCATTTATGTCACGTTAACGATGAACAGCTGAAAAGTTACCGGATTTATCAACTGCAGTAGCAATTTTGCTCCAACTCCTCTCCTTGTCATTTCTGTGGATATTCCCATCACGAAATGTTGAATGTTGAATGTTAATGTTGTTGCCATATGTCTGCTGGACTTCAGCTGTTTGGGATTCCCCTCTGTGCTTTCCCCTCAGAAAGCACAGAGGGGAATCCGCGCTTTCTGATTGGCTACCTGTCACATTCAACAGGCTGTTGAATATGCCTGATTCAGATGGGAGCGGCCATGAGGCTCTACTGACTGGACCCAATCAGTCGTAACACACAATACAGGATGATCGGTTATGATTATCGCAAGCTTCAATCTTAGAACGCTGCATGTACAGATTTGTATGTAATCTGTATATACAAATGTATGTACAGATTACCTTGTATGTATGTACATACATTTGTACATACATACAAATGTATGTACATATTACATACATTTGATTACATACATGACAGGAAAATTGGGGCAAAAAATCGTGTCGTGTGAACTGGGCTTAAGAGAGAAGTGAACTATTGCATCAAGTAGTCGGATATGCTCATCTTCTCTATCTAAATCTAATTATAATCGAAGGGCAACATAGTTTTTAGAATACAGAATACAGACTTTACAATCTGTACTCTTTTGGTTGAATGTAGTTTTTATTTCCACTTTGGTTTTATTTTGTGTTTAGTTTTTATTCAAGTGCGTTTTTTGTAAATGGAGACTGAGAGTCCATTTTATTTTTATTTTTGGCAGGATGTGCTTGCACTATTATGTCATCATAGACATAATATACGAATAGACGTCTCATGGACCACTCTCGCCAATTGAGGCTGACGAGATTTAGGGCGGTCATCTTGGAGTGGTCCACCACTCCACTCAGCGTTATGTGTTTAGCAGGCACAATGATGTATCAGCGCATTTAATCGATCATAACATGCTTTTTTGTTATTGGAAACCATATTCAAAGATCTGTCAAAGCTACATTTATAAACAATTGTATTTTCTAGGTATGTTTTTAAT